AGTGTATATTTAGTTGATGTTTTTCTTAGTTCATATCTTAGATGTTATTACTGTTTTTCTTATACATTTTATTGTTGGATGTAGCTGGGACCCTGCGTACATAATTTCGCTCCACCACATGTACCACATGAGGTGCGAATGACAATAAAGAAACTCTGACTCTGACTCTCTGACTGACTCTGTAAAGGGCTACGCCTATACTCATAGAATCTGGGGTTACAGTACGTAACCAACGATTTGCTGCTGTATGCTTAGACTGCTGGAGGACAAACTGACCACATCTCACTCTGCTGCTGTCTTTACTCGCTCTGCTCCCCATGGTTGACAACAAACATGTTTTATTTGTGTAAGAATGCAGAGAGCCTGCTGGAGCTTAAATGTATGTGACAAACATTTTAACAGGACAGAGCTCGTACGCATGCACACACGTGCACTCACAAACATACATCCTGCAGAGCATGTTCAGTCACAGTCAGTCCGGCTGCACAGGTTTGCTCCAACTGGAAGCTCATCAAGTAAAATTCACAAGTTTTCATGTTAAACACACACATACACACCAAGACACCAGAGAGGAACTCGAAAAGTGATGAGGTTTAGTTTGCATCAAGCTGGGTTCAGAATCAAATTGACTGAACACAACATTTTGTTTCACTCTCTTTTGTTTTTTTACACACAAACAAACACAAAGTGCGTTCATGAGAAACACAGGTAAAGCATGAAGAAGTTGCATCAGCACATAAATGGCACCTGTCGTACAAACACAGTGTAGACACAAAATGTACACGTTTAGACATCAATAGTGCAAAGTCATGCAAATGCAAGGCAGCAGCCCGATGCGCAGCAGCATCTAAACATCGCAGGATGCCTAGAGGCGAGCGTTTCCTGCTCTGAATGAAAGGATGGGTCGATTTGTGGGAACATTTCCAACAATTAAATTCTGAACAGTCTGAGTTAGATTAATAAGTTCGACTTGAGCTGCATTCTTGCAACAGTTTAAGAGTCGGGTGCTGGGTTCATACCAGGCAGAATTACACATTGAGCTCAGATTTATATAACAAGATATTTAGGGGCTTGATCAGTTACTCTATCATACGAAAACCCAGATCAAAGGGCTTTTCGTGCATAAAATTTGGCCCTTTGCACACATTCTGCATGAAAAAGATCCACTCCAGTTCAGACCCTGCAGGTTTGAGTGGATTCGAACACGTGCACACATTATGACAGACTGCCCCATCTAGAGGACAATGATAGAAACAGAATGCCTTTAATTTGGGCGTTATTGTGAAAGCACAAATCTCATTTTCTCATGGTTGGAGAGCGACAAATGCAGAGGGAGATGAGAGATCTAGGGTTAAAGGTCATAGTTACCTTTTCCATTAGAAGGGGAGGAGCAGTCCTCTTCAGTGACGTCATTTCCCTTAAAAATTCAACAGAGAATTGTTAAATTTAAAACCAGATTTGAGCATTTTTGACTCATCCGTGTTAATTTACCTCTGAGTCCTGCTCCTCCACACCCAACGAGTAGTTTTGTTCCTTTGTCTCCTTAGAAAACTCCTAAACAAGAAAAAATATACAAAATGAGGCGATGTTGTAACAGAACGAGACGTTATTGTTGGTTTGGATCACGCCGTCTCCTCCTTCTCATGACTCACCGCCTCCTGCTGCAACGGTCCTCGGCTCTCCATCGGGGCGTCCTGGTTCTCCTCCACCACCTCTCCCCCCTCGTCCCCGACAGGCTCGCCTTCGGCCCCGGCCAGGTAGGACCCTGACATGGAGGACATGGTGTCAGCGCTGATGTGGGAGTGCTGCGAGTGGGACGAGGCCATGGACATGACAGACTGGGCCAGGCTGCTGCTCACTGGGTCTGACAGACAGACGGAGACAGACGTCACGCTCCGGTCCGGATCAGGGTCCGAACAATCCGTGTTTGATTTGGTTTTTAGGGACAGTGGATGTTTTATTTAGCTGGGGGAAAGGAAGCTGATTCCTTCTATTTATCAACAGTGAGGGGAAAATGTGTCTTAAAGAAAAGTACTGCAAGCACAAGCAAAATAATAAAACTACTTTTTTAGTTTTTCAGAAGTTTTCTTTCAAAATTGAATTCGGTTTTCAACAAGAAATCACTGAATCCATTTTTAATGAGAAAAGGAATCAGATGATGCTCTTCAAATTGAGCTTTTATAACAAGTTTCAGAGACACGGGGCAATGATAGGATAAAAAAATTTATTGCTGTCAACCAACAGCAAAAAGGCAATAGTCCCTTGCAACTTCGCGGTTTGTTTATCGCGGACTCGCTCTATCGCGGTTTTTCAAAATAAAATTGGACATGACACACAATTGGCTGATTGGTGGATGAGCCGCATGATCAGCATGGAGTTTTTATTTAAAATTAATTATTTTATATTATTTAGCACCTGCTGCAACTTTGTGCAGCCCAGAGCTGCAGAAAAAGTTTCCTCCTGTACTTTTGTGCAGCCCATACTGCAGGATAAACTTCCCGCTGCAGCTGATCAGCTGTTCAGCACGCAGAGCAGATAAGTGGGCGTGGCCAAGAGAGCTTGCATGTGGCAAAGAGCAGAAGAGGCAGGGAGCTGAAATCATGACATGCTGTGTTCTTTTAGAGCACTTAGAGTTTAGAAACATTGTTTAGAATATTGCAAGAGTGTGGGGAAGAGTTTAAAATGCCTTTATGTATATATATATATATATATATATATATATATATATAGACTAAAATAAACTACTACTAACTACTTGTACTACTATTCCTACTTTGCGGTTTTTCACTTATCCCAGGGCTTCGGGATACGGATCCCCCACGATGAATGAGGTACTACTGTAATGTTTTTTGCCTGGGTCTGTTTGTACCTGTCTGTTAGCAAAATATATCATGAACCACTAAACAGATTTTAATGAAACGCTCAGAAGATAATAACTAGAAGCACGACTACAACTATTTAATTTTTGGAGTCAATCCCAATTAAGATGGTCGGCCCACCTAAAAGAACTTAGAAAACACAAAAATGGATAAAGATGCTTCATTTTTATAGATATTGAACTAAAATCTGGCGTGGATGTAGCTGAGCATCATCCCTATCACAAACTCTGAGCCAGTATAAATTAATCAACTTCTTTGTTTAAAAGTTAGTCACGCAAAGCAACAGGTGATAAGGATTTGTTTAAGAAATGCTAGTTTCATTGTAATACCTGTCATTTTAAACTGAATGAAATTAAAACACAATATAAAAGGAACAATTCTTTAAATGTAGACACTTAAAAGAAGCAGTAAAATCCAAAACTTGGACGCTTCTCAAGCACACAAACACAAAATCCTCCATCCCAGGTCACAAAAGATTTACAAAAACTGACCACAGCTTCAAGATGAAAATCAGTGCTACTAATTCAGTTTGACTCAATATGATTCCAGTTTTCTCCTCCTGTGTTCCTGCCAGTGCAGAGGTAAAAGTAAAAATAAAACACTGAGAAGTCTGTTGTAACATAAGATTTTAGTTCAGGCTTCAGAAAAAGATTAAGTTTGTGTTGTGTACCTTCAGGGGAGGTGATGGTGGAGGAGAGTGGGGTACCGGTGCAGGGGGACTGATCGATGGCTCCAGACGAGGACAGAGTCAGGTTCTCGCTATCTGGAGTCACTCCACTCTGTCGGAAAAAACGAGCACACATTTTATAATCTTAAATATAACACGCAAAGTGTGAATCCTCCTGTAGCAGCTGGTGATGTACTGTCTCATATGTCTGTTTAATACACACACACACACCTCCTGCTGATCCACAACCAGTTTGTGGCGACAGGCATCTGACTCACTGCAAGACTTCTCATCCTCCTCTTCAGGAAGCACAGAGGAGTTCTGAGAAAGTGATCTAAGATAAACAAAGGTGGACTGGCATCAGACAAGAACAACACAAGAAGGGGTGAGAAACCAGCTGAAGTAACGTCTACAATCAAAAGGAAAGTTCACGATTTAAAGGGCATTACTTGGAAAAATCCAAGATGGGAAAAGATGGAGTTAAAGCCGCTTTGGTCAAACCGTATAAATGTCCTTATGTTGTGAGATTCTACAGGATGTTTTAGCTCTTGTACTATGTGTTGAGGATGAGTCTCAGCTACTACCACACCAAAGTTTAGCTCAATATCTGTACAAAAAACTTTGTGTTTGCTATGGTCAATTGGCTGTGGCAGCTATGGTGAAATTGGTTGACTCCAGAAGTTAATCGGTTGTAGACAGGGCTGAACGATTAATTGCATTTGCGATAATATGGCGATATGATAAAACTATATTTTCTAATCGCAAAGCCTGCGACTTGACTGGTCACGTGATCTGGTTACGTGACATGCGAGTGAGCGGAGCAAAGCAGAGCAGGGAGCGGGAGAAGTTAACGTGCACTTTAACCGGTTGCACAGTGGCGTCAGGCTCGACAGAGGCCGACACATCTGAAAGTTTGGTACCAAAGAGGAGCAGCACGTCCGTTGTTTGGAATTATTTTGAACCTGCCTTGTTGATGTCGCTACTCTCGAGGTAACACCACAAATCTTTATCAACACTTAAAAAAACACCACAAAGCCATTTACGATAGTTGCATGGTTAGAATGCCAACCTGTGCTTCAGCTTCAAGTAAGCAAAGTAGCAGCCGACAGGGATCACTGACCGAACTGTTCGAAGGTATTACTCCGTATGAACATAATTTGAAACAGCACGTGGAAATAGCTCGAGCAATAACGGAGTTCATAGCAAAATACATGATGCTCATTAATGTAGTGACCAAGCCTGGGTTTACGGCTTTGGTAAATACAGTGGATAAGCGGTACAGAACATCCTCGCGCCCACATTTTAGCCAAGTTGCTATCCCGGAGCTACCGTATGCAAAAAATGTAGATACAGAGTTGCAGCAGAGCTGAAAACAGTGGAGTTTTTAGCACCTGAAACAGATTTATTGCTTGTGTTCATTGAAAAATACATAAGAACACATTGAAAAATAATTGCATACTAAATCGCAGTCGTAATAATGACGTATAAAAATCGCGATTAGAATATTTTCCAAAATCGTTCAGCCCTAGTTGTAGATGTACGTCCAATTATTATGACTTTCTAAGAAATTAATTAAAATCTGTCCAGATATTTTGCTAACAGACTGAGATGACAAGCGTTTGATGTTAAAGTTTGAAGCTAAGATGTTGCATAATGTGTAGTGTTTGGAGTATGAGTTGGGGATCGTGTCTATATCTGTACGTTCAAGAAAATTACATTAAATGTCAAGGCTCACTTTGAGCTGCTCTTCTTCAGTTTGAGTCCCTGACTGGAGTTGGACTGGTCGAGAGGCGAGAGGGAGCGAGCCGGCGCCGGATGGGGCTCGCTGCTGTACGGGGGCAGCACCCCGGAGACGTGGCTGGGGCCGGAGTGGGGCGGTGGAGGGTCCACCGAGGAGGTGTTCAGGGGTCCGTTCAGCGCCTCCAGGAGCGACACCGCCTCATAACCTGGAGGGATGTGCTCCGACGCCTGAAACAAGAGGAGAGCGGCAAGATCACGTCACCGGTACCAGAAAGCAGGATTTCTTCATACGCAGGTGATTAATTTTTTCGATCTTACCGAGTGTTCCTCTGAGTCTGAAGTCTGCGAGGTGATGACGGGGTTAAAGCTGGTTGGAGTCAGAGGACTGAGTTTCTTCCTCATGGCTCGAATCTGCAGCAAAGCTCTAAAAGCTGAGGGGAAGCAGGCGAAGAATAAAGGTTTATTACTGTAAGTGTGACAATAACAGGTTTTAGAATCAACTATTAGGATTCAACAATTTATAATAAAAGTCATAATTGATACGTTAAAATGAGAAGAGGCCAAACAAAATGTCTGCGCTTCAGAAATTGTATTTATTTATTTTCATTTTTTGGTACTAATCCGCTCTCTGCCGACAGTTTTCTCCTGCGAGTACAGGCTGAAATAATGTCGCTCATCTTAAAGCTGCTGTTCAAATTTCTGATTCGGTTAGCTTATCTGCAGTGGGGATCAAAAGGAAGGTTTTCATTTGTGCTACTTTTACTTTATTGCTTTTACACTGCTTCTTCTCCTTCTTTCAGCTTTTCTCTCTTCAGGGGTCGCCACATCGTCATCCTCCTCCATCTCACTCTGTCCTCACTCCAACTACCTCCATGTCCTCTCTAACTGCATCCATATATCTCTTCTTTGTCTTTTTCCTGGCAGCTGCATTTCTAACATCCTTCTACCAATATACCCACTGTCCCTCCTCTGGACATGTCCAAACCATCTCAGTCTGGTCTCTCTAACTTTATCTCCCAGTTGTTCAACCTGTGCTGTACCTCTGATGATCTCATCTTATTCATCTTATCCGTCCTTGTCACTCCTAAGGAGAACCTCAACAGCTTCATTTCTGCCACTTCCAGTTCTGTCTCCTGTCTTTTTGTCCATGTCTCTGTCTCCAGACCATACAACATAGCTGGTCTCACCACTGTCTTGTAAACTTTTCCTTTGACCTTTGCTTTTACACTGCAGTCTCTCTAAATAAATACAAATGCGGATGTTTTCATTTTCAGATAAAATCCCTAAAATGTTTCCGATAAATGTCATGTCTATATAGAAATTCCTAAAAAATAAAGATATTAATAAGGGGGGAAGAATGGTTAAATAATTTTATCTGGACCAGTTTCTTTAAGGGAGAACCGTTTCGCCTTCCATCCAGAAGACTTCATCAGTCTGTGGCCTGCCAACCAGATCTGTTCCATAAGTGGCCTTCATTGCTGTGTTTCAAGCCCACCTCCTGTTGGAATCTCAGAAGCAGGCTTTTTTAACACATGCAAAAGGACCCATCTGTCCAAAACAATCAATCATCTTGATTAACAATCAAATGTTTTAGGCCAGAAGGCCTTGCTACTCACAGAAACAGCCCGAGGACACCAAGGCCAAAATGGTTCAGATAAAGCGATGAAGTCTTCCGGATGGAAGACGAAACATTTCTCCCTTAAAGAAACTGATCCAGATGAAATTATTTAACTGTTTTGTTTGTTATCTACCTGGATGATTGAGCCTATAAATATAGATATTTGACCTTATCTAGAAATTTAGACCTTTGAATACAAATTCTGAGAAGTCCTGGTAGAAACTACAGAGAAATGTGTGAATTAAAAATAAATTCAGCCTAGAAAATACCAGGAACTTTCAGCTAATGCTGCAAATTGCATCGTTAACTAAATTTTGAACAAGTTTAGGCAAGCCAATATTTGTTTGCATTTATAATAT